AACCCCCCATTTTCAGCACCAGCTGTGCAAACAATAGTTGACCTACAGGATCCATCCTTTCCTCCAGCCATACCCCCTAGCCAGTAGGATTGAGAAGAAACCCCTGGGCACCTATGTCCTTGACTTGCCCTACAGCGATGTAGTCATGCTTGATACACTCCATGTGTCCCCTAGCATTATCCTTGGTGAGCACATGGAAGAGCAACAGGGAGTAAAAGTCTGAGACTCATTCAAGACTCAGCATGCTTTCTACATGGTCCCAGATCTCCACTCCCCCCAAAAAACCTCCCCAGGCACCACACTGGGGTAGGAAATTGGAGCTTCTTGTCAAAGAGTTCCAGGCAATGAAAAACACCAGTCAGATGAAAACACAATGAAAAACATTCAGTCAGCTGATCGGAGCTAGCCTAGCTAGAGCCACAGCCGGCACGCTTCAGCGACGCGAGGGTCAACGGAGATTAGGAAAATCAGAGGGGACAGCGCAGAGACATCGCGATTCCCGACATCTCCCGATCCCCGAAGCCCCAGCAGCCCTTGCGAGAGAGAGGCTGACGTAGCGGGGGGCGTTCCCACGGTGACGGCGACCACTCCCCTGCTGCTTGCCTTGAAAAAGCCTTTGAGAGGGCGGCGACCGGTCGCTGCCCACCAGGCACAGGGAGGGACAAGCAGGTCGTGTTGCTGGTGTCCCAGACTGCGCACCAATATGGTTGCCTCCAGAAAGAGAGCTTGCAGTAAGGTGACTACAGCAACTCAGACAGAGACCCCGTCCCAGACCGTGGCTGTTCAGGTCTCTGGGTGCAGGGAGTGCCAGAGCCTGCTGCTGCCGGGGGAGGGAGGACAGCATTCCACCTGCGGGAGGTGTGAGCAGGTAGAAGATCTGCTTAGCCTGGTGGCAAGACTTAAGGAGGAGGTTGAGACGCTGAGGACCATCAGGGAGTGTGAAAGGGAGATCGACTGGTGGAGTAACTCCCTGGCGGGCCAGTCGAAACGGTTCCAGGGAGATACCCCCCAAAAGGGGAAGGACCCCCTGCCTTCTCACACAGAGGGGGATGGCCTGAGGCAGCCCCTGCCCTGTAGCTGTTGCGCAGAGGTAGGGGACCAAAAAGACGGCGAGGGTTGGAAGCGAGTTCCAGTTCGACGTCGTGGGAAACCCTCCCCCCTTCCTGCCCTGCTTCCCCAGGTGTCCCTCCGTAATAGGTTCGAGGCCCTGGATCTTGAAGGAGAGGTAGGTGAGAATGTGGGGCAAGGCCAGCCCACAAGGCCACATAGGAAAAGGGAGTCGACTTTGCACCTCAAGACTGCCTCTCTTAAGAAAGAAAGAAGGGTCATTGTAGTAGGGGATTCCCTTCTGAGAGGAACAGAGGGCCCGATATGCAGAGTTGACCCTCATCATAGGGAAGTGTGTAGTCTGTCTGGAGCCCGGATCAGGGATATCACCAGGGCGCTCCCCAACCTGGTGCACCCGACAGACTATTACCCGCTGCTGGTCTTCCAGACAGGTGGGGAGGAAGCTGCTTCCCGCAGTCTGAGGGGGATGAAGAAAGACTACAGGGCCTTGGGGCGGATGGTGAAAGAGTCTGGGGCTCAAGTGATCTTCTCCTCACTCCTTCCATCTTCCACTGATGATGTGGGAAGGAATGGGAAGATTCAGTTCATGAACAATTGGCTTCGAGACTGGTGCTACAGGCAGGGCTTTGGATTCTTTGATAACGGCTGGTTTTATAGGGCACCAGTCTGGACAATGACAAGTGAGAAAGGTTTGTCTCACAGAGGGAAAAGGATGCTGGGGCACGAATTAGCAGGGCTCATTTGGAGAGCTTTAAACTAGATTCGAAGGGGGATGGGCTTGTAGCTGGGCTTGCCCCAGTGGGGCAGCGCTCCAGAATTAATGAAGACTGGGAGGCCTCCTACAATCCTAGGGTGAAATCGGTGTGCTCAGCTCCCTCCCTGAAATGCCTGTACACCAATGCGCGCAGCATGGGAAATAAGCAGGAGGAGTTGGAAACCTGTGTTAAGTCAGGAGATTATGATCTGGTGGCAATTACAGAGACGTGGTGGGACAGCTCACATGACTGGAATATAGTCATGGAAGGCTATGTCCTTTTCAGGAAAGACAGGCCAGCCAGGCGGGGTGGTGGGGTTGCACTTTATGTGCGGGAGGAACTACAGTGCACCGAGTTCTGTCCAGGGACAGATGATGAGCGAGTTGAGAGTCTGTGGGTGAGAATTAAGGGGCAGGCTGGCAGGGGGGATACTGTTGTAGGTGTCTGTTACAGACCACCGGATCAGGGTGAGGAAGTTGACGAGGCCTTCTACAGGCAGCTGAGAGCGGCCTCACAGTCACAGGCCGTGGTCGTCGTGGGGGATTTTAACTTCCCTGATGTTTGCTGGAAGGACCACTCGGCAACCCAGCCACAGTCCAGGAGGTTCCTCCAGTGTATGGATGATAACTTCCTCCTGCAAATGGTGGATGAGCCGACCAGGAGAGGAGCGCTGCTGGATCTCATCCTCACTAACAAGGAGGATCTGGTCGAAGCAGTAAGGGTTGAGGGCTGCCTTGGTTGCAGCGACCACGAGATGGTGGAGTTCAGGATCTTGTGTGGCAGGACTAGTAGAATACCAAGTAGAATTGCAACCCTGGACTTTAGCAGGGCAAACTTTGGCCTTTTCAAGCAATTGCTAGGGGAAATCCCATGGGCAAGGCTGCTTGAAGGTAAAGGGGCCCAAGATAGTTGGTTGACATTCAAGGACTGCTTTTTCCGTGCTCAAGATCGGAGCATCCCGACACGTAGGAAGTCAAGGAAGAGGGCCAAGAGACCTGCGTGGCTAAACAGGGAATTGCTGGGTATGCTCAAGTGGAAGAGGAGAGTTTACAGGTCATGGAAGGAGGGGCTGGCCACTTGGGAGGAATATAAGGCTGCTGCTAGAGGATGTAGGAAGGCAGCTAGGAGGACTAAGGCATCCTTAGAATTAAAACTGGCGAGAAGGGTCAAGGACAGCAAAAAGAGCTTTTTTAAATACATGGCAGACAAAACTAACACCAGAGGCAATGTAGGCCCACTGATGAATGGGATGGGTGCCCTGGTGACAGAAGATAAAGAGATGGCAGAGTTACTGAATGCCTTCTTTGTCTCTGTCTACTCTGCTGCGGGCAGTCCTGAAGAGCCCTGTACCCCTGAGACCTTAGATGAAGTCAGGTCGACGGAGCGGTTTGCCTTAGTCGATGAGGAATGGGTTAGAGACCAGTTGAGCAATCTGGACATCCATAAATCCATGGGTCCAGATGGGATGCACCCGCGGGTGCTGAGGGAACTGGCGGAAGTCATTGCTAGACCACTCTCCATCATCTTTACCAAGTCTTGGGAAACGGGAGAGGTGCCTGAGGACTGGAGGAAAGCAAATGTCACTCCAGTCTTCAAAAAGGGCAAGAAGGAGGACCCGGGTAACTACAGACCGGTCAGCCTCACCTCCATCCCTGGGAAAGTGATGGAACACCTTATCCTTGGTACCATCTTAAGGCATATCAAGGATAAGAAGGTTATGAGGGGCAGTCAACATGGCTTCACCAGGGGGAAATCATGTTTGACCAATCTCTTAGCCTTTTATGAGGAAATAACACGGTGGATGGATGATGGCAGAGCGGTGGATGTGGTCTACCTTGACCTCAGCAAAGCATTTGACACGGTCTCCCACAGCATCCTCGCGGCTAAAATGAGGAAGTGTGGACTGGATGATCAGGTAGTGAGGTGGACTGCGAACTGGCTGAAGGAGAGAAGCCAGAGAGTTGTAGTCTATGGGGCTGAGTCTAGTTGGAGGCCTGTAACTAGTGGAGTGCCTCAAGGGTCAGTACTGGGACCGGTATTATTTAATATATTCATCAATGATTTAGATGAGGGAATTGAGTGTACTATCAGCAAGTTTGCTGATGACACTAAGCTGGGAGGAGTGGCTGATACGCCAGAAGACTGTGCTGCCATCCAGCGAGACCTGGATAGGCTGGAGAGTTGGGCAGGGAGTAACTTGATGAAATATAACAAGGGAAAGTGTAGAGTCCTGCATCTGGGCAGGAACAACCCCAGGTTCCAGTATAGGTTGGGGAATGACCTGTTAGAGAGCAGTGTAGGGGAGAGGGACCTGGGGGTACTAGTGGACGACAGGATGACCATGAGCCAACACTGTGCCCTTGTGGCTAAGAAGGCCAATGGCATCCTGGGGTGTATTAGAAGGGCGGTGGTTAGTAGGTCGAGAGAGGTCCTCCTTCCCCTCTACTCTGCCCTGGTGAGACCGCATCTGGAATATTGTGTCCAGTTCTGGGCCCCTCAGTTCAAGAAGGACAGGGAGCTGCTGGAGAGAGTCCAGCGCAGGGCAACAAAGATGATTAAGGGAGTGGAACATCTCCCTTATGAGGAAAGACTGAGGGAGCTGGGTCTCTATAGTTTGGAGAAGAGGAGACTGAGGGGTGACCTTATCAGTGTCTATAAATATATAAAGGGGGAGTGTCACGAGGACGGAGCCAGGCTCTACTCAGTGGCAAACAATGATAGGACAAGGGGTAATGGGTACAAACTGGAACACAAGAGGTTCCACTTAAACTTGAGAAGAAACTTCTTCTCAGTGAGGGTGACGGAACACTGGAACAGGCTGCCCAGGGAGGTTGTGGAGTCTCCTTCCCTGGAGACATTCAAAACCCGCCTGGACGCATTCCTGTGTAACATTATCTAGGTGTTCCTGCTCCGGCAGGGGGATTGGACTAGATGATCTTTCGAGGTCCCTTCCAATCTCTAACATACTGTGATACTGTGTGATACTGTGATAATTGTTCAGTATTACTCCGCAGTAGTATTGATTAAGAGTGAGAGTTAACTGACGGGTTACTTCAGATCCCATGCTGCCTGTGGTTCTTCAACACTGTGGTAACTCTTACATACATAGACACACATAGAGAGGTTTATTTATGTCAAACTTGTATTAAATCAAGCTAGATATTGAATCACAAACTCTTGGCTTCCAAACTGCTCAGTTTAATGAATGGACTCAGCATAAGGCACTTTAAGGCATCTCTTCAATGACATTACAATTTTCTGCTGGAATTTACAATGACTTTGCAACAGAGAAGCCAATGAAAACTTTCAGTTCTACAGCAGTAAGAACATTTTGTTGTGACATCTTCATCACTGGCTGAAATATGGATGACATTTGGCCCCTACAATATCATATTAAAACAGTGTGAAGATATGAATAAAACAATAACAAAGAAAAAATACCTCCCTTTCCAAGCAGAACTTTCTTCAAAATCTTAAAAATAGAGATCTACACTTCCAAAGGCAGTTAGTCATTTTGATGTTTGATTTGACACACAGGCTCAGGTCTTCACAGCACTAAAGTTCAGTAATCTGTAAAAAAACAAGATCTGCTCTAAGGATGGATGAGACACCACACAGTGAGCCCCTCAACCACTGCTCACTTTTAGGGAAAGTCAGTAAAAGGGAGAAGCAAAAATCAACACATTAACTTCAGTAAATTCAGCAACATAGGTATATATATTTTATTCTTTTTTTTTTTTTTCCTCTTTTGCTCTTCTACTTATTTCTCCTACATCTTTTTCCTTCATTTCTTACAGTTTCTATCTCTGTGTTGCTGAACTGTGCTCTCCTATCTCCAGTTCCCTTCAGGAATTCCTAAGCTGCTATTATATGCCTCCTTTTTCATTCCCTGTGTCTGTCTGTGCTTCTTCCTTTTCATGTTTTTGATGCCTTTCCTTCTGGCACTAACCACTGTAGGCTCATTTCTCCAGAAACCACTCTTTTTTTGCCCATTTATATAGCCTATACCTACTCCATCTCCCAGTTAGTATCCTACCACATTATTCCTTACACAGAAGAGGGTGTGTGAATGGAAATGGTCTGATGAATATAGGAGCTGAAGCCAGATTGCTCCCTGGTTTTCTCCTGTCTTGTATCTTTTCTGCCTCCCCTTCTCTCACGATACCTGCTTATTCTGCTGCAAAACAGGCAGTACAGCAGTGAGAAGAGCACCACTTGTCCAGCAGCAGTTGCTGGAAATGAAGGGACATTTAAATTCACAAAGGAAAACCAACAGATCCGATACATTTCAGCGCCTAAATCAATTTGAATAAACTGCTTTGGTTTAAAGCTGTTCTTTCTCCATGGAATTTAACAAAGTGGTGGAAATCAGGATCTTTGAAAATTCCATGCGCTTCCACCAGAAGCCTTGGGTACATAAATTTTAAAATCATGCCAGCATCTCACAACTCTGAGGCATTCTGTAGTTCTATTTTCTGTGGTGTAGCTAAAATTTTCTCTGTTTAAGTACATACCAGGAGTGACTGCAGTTCATACCTGGCACTGATTAAGCCTGCTCTATAACCAAACTATTCCTGCAAGTAGTAACTCTACAGTAAAGGCAGCATGGCAGAAGGCTGTGCTGGTAAAACACTTCTTGTACTAGCAGTAACTTAATTCATGCTGCTGTTGTTAACTAAGATGCACTTCCGCCAGAGCTCACAAGACCAAGGTAGTGAGAAAGAGGTGCTAGTGATACAGCTAGCTGTATGTTTAAACAACTATCCTTTGAGAACATAGGAAGAAGCTTAATTTAATGGCAAAATAGGCTAGTTCATATATTCTGCAAGCTCATGGCAGTAATGATATTCCTCTTACAGAGCTAATGAGCTCTTGTTTCCTTAGCACTGGAAGCTTTCACCTTCCGCTACAAAGTCAATACATTCCACTAGAAGAGAGAAGGCAGGCACACTGAGACTGCTAAAATCTGCCAGCTCATAAGGAACAGGTCTGCTCCACAAAAGCCACACTCCAGAGACTGTAAAAAAAGAAATAGATGCTCCAGAGCACCAGCTGACCATTGCAGGCAAATGCTAGAATGCCTGAAATGGTGCCTAGAACAACCTCTTTTCAGTAGGTGTGTTGGAGAAGGGCTTTTCCAAACATTTGAATTTATTAAGGTTGGATGTTAGGAAAGGCATGTTAGGTTCATTATGTACATGAAACCAACACTTACCACCTGCCAGTAGGAAACAAGTGATTATTCTAGACATTTACAAAATGTTTCAGAATATGAACATGGCTCAACACCTAGCACTCCTAAACATGTTTCTTAAGCAAAGATTTAAAGACTGTTAGCTAGTTACTAAACAAAGAGGTGGGTTAGCTCTGCAGAAAGGTGCCCAGAGGTGATTACTATAAGACCATATAACTGCAGTCCTGTGAGATGTCCATGAATTATAAAATAATACTACCCTGCAATTTTAAATTAAGGTTTTATAGTGAAAGTTTCTTATTGTTGACTCTTACTTTTCACTCCTGTATGTCTTGAGTAGAATTGAGGCTGTAAAAGTAGACTGTTTCTGTTCTGTGGCACTGGATTCAGGCTTCCAATGGAAAAATTCTTTTTCATGTTCCAAATTCCTTCCAGAGCCTCTGTTAATAATTTGTCACAATAATAATGGTATAACTGATTACTTCAACTTGTTCTAGAATTAATGTAACCTTTGGTCTATACAGTAATGAGAAGCAGTTAAGCAGAACACTATAATCTTCCTCCACAGTTAACAAAAAGAGATTGACACCTTCAGAGAGCAATTCAGATTGCTGAAGGTGTATGATGCTCTCTACTGTCTGTAGAACATCTTAAGACTACTAAACTCCCAACTGAAGCAGGATGCAGCTGATCTATAATAAAAAAGCAGTAATACAATTGACGCATCCAGTATGATTCACTGGTCAAACTGGAATACCAAATGCCCTCAACAAAACAACCACTCACCCCTCAAAGAAAACTAACAAAAACCCCTCAAAACAAACCAAACACCAATAAAATGAAACAGAAAAGCTAATTTATTTTGTGGAAAGGTTACAATTCACTAACCATCTAATTTGGGTAAAAAAAATAAACTTACTAATGATCTAAACTGTGTAAATAAGTAACCATCCAACCTGACACCTGCTGTTTATCTGAGCCCAGGCCACTTCGGTAGCATCTCTAATTCTCCAGATGTATATAGATTAAAAGGAATTTGCTGAATAATCTGTACACCAGCATCTATTTGATCTGATTATACATAGCATTGTTATGCTGTGCATATGAGATTATGCTATAAATACCATTTATATACTGAGCTTGTTATACATTCAGATCATACATTCCTGTTATATTTTTCTATAGTGTTTCTATATTATCTTTAGTACTTTAAGCCTTTGTAACATCCGTGAGACCATACATTGTGGCATCCAGCTATGCCATTTGCTGATAAGGAGGATTACCTGCCACTGGATGTTTAACATAGCATGCTTCTTTCTGAATATAAAGCTCTTCTTCGAGTAGTTCCTTAACTCTCCTAGATGGTTCAACATACACAGATTTCTTCCCTGTTAGCAAAACATATGACAAAAGAACCAGTTATTTTAAATCCCCTGAATGCTGACATGCTTTGTTGAATGCCATTTTTTTGCTGCTTTACTTCTGTCTTTAATACACTTTTAAGACAAGTTGTTTACAAAATGCACGGTGGTGGCGGGTAGAACTAGCAGCGGGTGAGGTGGATCTCCAAGGGAGACATGGCCACTGTGCCTGCCCATGGCGAACAGCCCAAAGCACGGCCAAGCACAGAGGTCTTCATGGAGATGTCCTGCTCAAAGAGATCTCCATGGAGCTATAGATGGACTAGGGCTCCTCATGCCGGCAGGGCACTGCCGTGGCAGGGTGCACGGTGCCCGGGGAGGCGAGGGACCATCGCGCAAGGTGGCCACGGGGGATCAGTGGGGAGCTGCGGGGGTAAAGGCTCGGCTCCCCAGCAGGGACAAGCCGGGGATGCGGGGGGAAGGCCGCATTGGACGGACGGATGGTCGGTAGGGGAGGCGAACCCCGCCGCCAGGCCGGGGCCCCGCCGCGCTCACACGCCTGCCTGCCTCCCGCTGCCTGCCCGCGGACATCGCTGCCCGTCTCCTCGGCCGCCGCCGGCAGCTCCCTCGTCGCCGCCCTCATGGCCGCCGCCGCGGCGGGGCAGGGAGAAGTCGGGCGACCCCGTTACCACAGCAGCACGGGCACCGGCACCCCGGCTCCGGCCTCTCTGCGGGCTGGAGCGAGCGCAGCTGGAGCGGAGGGTGGAGCCGCGCCCGGCGGGGCGGTGCCGCTCACCCCCATGTTGGGGCTGGGCCTGGGTGGGTTTGCCCGGGGGTCGGAACCCGGTTCTTGGCACAGCCTGGTGCTGGGAGGCAGGTTCGCTGTTCTCCCGGCCGAGCGGGGCTGGTTTATCCCGTCCACAGGCGGTTAACAAGGGGGACGGCCAGTCACCATCCCCAGGGGACAGCCGGCCCGCTGGGGGCACAGGGTGAGTGACAGCTCTAGGCAGCACCCGAAGCGCCTCGGTTGAGTCAGTCAGAACGCGCTCAGAGTGGGCACAGGCATCACAAACACTTTGTACCCTGTGGGGGGTCACCACGGGCCTGCATTCTAAAGCGGTGTTTGTCCTCACCTGAGGCAATGGTGGATTGAGGGAAATAAAGACCGTATAGCCCAGTTTAACTGGGAGGAGGATGCAGATCTACTCAAAAGTACTAGCTTGGTTTTAATAACGCTTTTCACAAAATGAAAGCGTTATTAAACAGTTTGAGATACTGTTTATAAGCCTGAAGTAGATTTGACTCCTTGTTTTGCAGGCTGTTCTGAGAAAGAAAAGCAGCTGGCACTTAGTCAACCAGTACTGCTGCCAGAGAAGCTGTCCTGCTCGCTGCGCTGGAATCTTGGCCCTGCAGAAGCTTCCTTGAAACCAAGACTTTGCATACAGCAGTGAGAGTTTATGAGATATAAACCAAGTCCTAAGACACAAACCCACCCCCGTCACCTTGAGTGTGGTTAAGTGACAGCAGCCAAATCAGTCGGGACTTCTGGAAGCCCAACACGGATGTGAATGCCTTGGAAGAGAAATACAAGCGATCAGAAAGTTAAAGTGTCAAATAAGAAAATAGTCTGGAAATTAAGGAATTCTGGGGAGAAATATCAGTAAGGTTTTTTAATATTTATAAATATTTGAGCTGGGATGAGGGATTCGAAAGTGGAGATGGATGGCCATGAGGAGTGAGGGAAGATTATGAGGGGAGAGGTGAGGCAGTCATGAGGCATGCGGAGAGATCATAAGGAGACAAGAGAGGTGGCCGTGAGGGATGAGGTGGAGACTGTGAGGGGAGAGCAGGGGCAGCCATGAGGGAAGATCATGAGGGGAAAGGTGGGGCAGCCCGTGGGGCAGCATGATGGGCTGGGAGGGGCAGCCATGGGGGGAAGTTGTAAAGGGAGAGGTGGAGCATTTGTGAAAGGCCATGAGGGGAAATCTTGAGGGGACAGGAGGGGTGGCCATGAGAGGAAACTGTGAGAGGTGTCATGGAGAGACAGGAGGGGTGGTCGTGAGGACACAGGAGGGACGACCATGGCGGAGGTGGGGGGGAGTTGAGATTGTGATGGGAGAGCAGGGGTGGCCATGAGGGAGGATCACGAGAGGAGAGGTGGGGTGGCTGTGAGAGAAGAACATGAGGTGAAAGCAGGAATAGCTATGGGCTGTGAGGGATGGCCACGAGGGTTAGAGGCAACAGCTGAGGAGACAGATGAGGGGTGGCTGTGACTGGCGACAGTGAGTGGCAGGCACGGAGATCACTTTGCCCTTAGTGACATAGTTTAGTGGTGGGCTTGACAACCCTGGGGTAAAGGTTGGGCTCCATGGTCTTGAAGGTATTTTCCAACCTAGCTGATTCTATGAAATACGTCCTGCACTAAATTAGCTGTAACCAGTCAGACACAACAGTATGTTGGCTGTTTACCTGTAAAAAGCTGAAGTTGATTTGTTCTAATTTATGGCATAATCATGACATTGAAACTTCTCAATCTAATTCACAAACAAAAAATAAACAGGATCTTCATAGAAAGTCACTTCCTTGGAAAGCACCAGGAAAAAAGAACCAACAAAATTCCTTTGTCATCCTATGATTAATGATTTTATGAACAGGCAATGGCGTTGATAACTGTGCTTTCAGTTAAAAATATGACAACAAACTCCTTAGGATTAAATATTTTATTTTATACGAAGCCTTACACCAGGATCACCGAACATTTTGTGTATCACCCAAATAAGTTACATTCATTCTGAGCTTTCATGCAGGTCTAAAAAAGTTAAATTTCTCAAAAAAATAATTTTCAAGTTGAGCTGTGCCAAACTCTGCATTACCAAGCCAGAATTCTTTCACATCAAGTAAACATTCCAGTTTCCTCTCCTGCTTTAATAGTACAGATCAATTACAAAGGCCCCTCCCAATATGCACTAATTAAATGGAAACTCACTGGAATTACCAAGACTTTCTGAATTCCTCGTGTGACAGTAGAAACGCTTCCAAGTATGAGTGAGACCACTGAGCAGAGCTGCAAGAAGTGACATTTTGTCTGAGAAGAATACTAAAGTATGCTGAATGAAAATCTCGTTGCAAAGGTACAGACCATCAGGGATGAGCATGCAGGACACAAACAGAAGGCAGCAAACATCCCATTTTCACAAGCGTCACCACAACTTTTAAGGGCACACAGCATTTATGCAGTCTTCTACTATTTCAAAAAGATAGTGATATATATCAGTCCTCCTGGCAATGTCAAGAGCTGTTTCATCCAAGTTGTTCTTCAGGTCTGGCTTCACATAGCGATTCATCAGCAGGAGTTGAAGGGTTTCCCTGCTGTTCTTGTTTCCTGCAGCAATGTGCAATGGTGTCAGCAAGCCATTTGTCTGGGCGTTGATGTCCGCACCCTGCTGAAGTAAGAATGCGGCCACACTGGTGTTGTTCCACTTACAGGCGCTGTGCAGGGGTGTCCAGCCATCCACTGTCTGTGCATGAACGTCTGCCCCTTGTGCCACCAGCTCATGAGCCACATCCAGGTGCCCGCTGTAGGCAGCACGATGGAGAGGAGTGTACTGGTCTTCATCACGAGCGTTGACTGGAGCCAGCTTTTCCGTAAGGAGCCTCTTCACTGTGCTCAGCTGTTTGAAAAAAACAGGCAAATTAGTATGAAACTCTGCCAGCAAGATGCACAGCTTTTACTGTGCCAAAGTTTTACAGAAAAGCAATTTCTGTCAGTCTCAAAAAGTCTTAAAGTGCAGTGAGGAGGTTCTGGGGAGACCTGAGAGCAGTATTCCAATACCTAAAGGGGCCTGTAAGAAATCTGGAGAGGAGCTTTCTTTCTTAGTGACAGGACAAGGGAGAATGGCTTTTAGCCAAAAGAAGGTAGATTTAGATTAGCTATTAGGAAGAAATTCTTCAGTGAGGGTGGTAAGACACTGGCACAGGTTGCCCAGAGAAGCTGTGGCTGCCCCATCCCTGGCACTGTTCAAGACCAGGTTGGATGGGGCTTGGAGTAACCTGCTCTAGTAGAAGATGTCTCTGCCATGGCAGGGGTTTGGAACTGGATGAGCTTTAAGGTCCCTTCCAACCCAAAACGTTCTACGGCCCTATGTTAAGAAATCTAAAAATGAAACCAGTTATTGTTGCTGTTTTTTTGTTAGTTTTGAGTTTCGAGTGGGTTTTTTTTTGTTGTTTTAAGATATGCAACATGAGCATTAGTTGTGATGCCTTAAGGGTACCTTTAACTTACACCTTCTCCCCATTTACTCTGAGAACGTAAGTACCTCCACAGAAATGTAGACAGAGCTTGCGTGCATGTAAAAAAGACAACGAATAAACATAAATGTACATAAAGGCATAATAACCTAACAGGAATCTTGGGCATTTCTCCCTCACTCCCAAGAGTAAAAAGCTTTATTTTCCGTAAAAATATAGGAAAACAGTCACCCATTATGTCCATATGGATTTTAGAAACTGAAAGTTCAGAGACATCCTCTCCACCCCAGCAAAAGGCTGACTTGCCATGAAGAGCCTCGCATGCTTTCAGTATACAGAAGCTTAAGAAAAGTGCTACTGCTTTCACTCTGAACAGCAGTCAAAGCTTTTGTTCCCAAAGCTTTTGATCCAGACATGTTTTATTGTGTGGGGGCTACAAAGGGAGATGTTTTACATAGAATGGCTTGCAAAACTGTATCTAAATAGTTCAAAGGAATAAAAGAAAGTGTAGGTGCACTTTTGTTTGTGGATGAAACTGCAAATATACTCAAAATAACATTCTTGTCAGGGGTTCATACGAACCGAATAAATACCTTACCCGATTGTTTTCAGCTGCCCAGAGTAGCAATTTCTCTGGATGCTTTTCCATCTTTTTTTCCTGCATTTCGTACCATTCCTCACTTCTTTCTTGCTCATCATCATCATCATCCGACTGTCCTGACCAACAGCTCTGAGTTCCTACAGGAATCAAATGCCTGTGTGTCTCCAGCAGCTCGAGCTGGTTAAAATTCTCCATAAAGGCTTCGAACTCATCACTGTCATCATCATCTTCGATTTGTCTCTCTTTGTTCATTTTCACTTAGTGTCTGCAAGCAGCCGACATCCAGCGGTATTTGTAACAACTCCTCCTGTTATCTCAGCGCTGGTTGTCGACTCAAACACCTGATGGACGATGCAGAGATGAGCAACGCCACCACCAGCAAAGCTCAGGAGCAGGATCAGCTCCTCTGCTCACCCGCATCCAGGATAGAGAACGCCACCACCTCACCGACAAACGACCCCACATTCAGACACACTCCAGTCACTCCGAACTCATACACAGAAGTGGGGAGAACAGGCCAGGCTTCACAGCGGGCTTCCGCTCCTCCTGCCCAGCGGCCCTCACTGCCCTCCCGGCCCCGCCGCGGTGGTCAGGCCACCCCAGCAGGGCCTCAACGCCCAACCCTGCGTCCACCATAAGCCCTCCCCGAGGCTGGGCCCGAGCCCGGCCCCCCGCGACCCAAGCCCCACACATGCCGTACGTATCTCCCGTGTCCCATCCACGCTCGCCCCGCTCCCGGCCCTGCTTAGCTTCGATCGCGGCCCACCGCCTGGGCTAACGCACCTGCGGCCGCCTCTGCCACTGCGCTCCGGGGGCGGGGCCACCGCCAGCCCCACGAGTTCTTCCGGG